CAAATCTTTGTCATTCATTTTATGTTTATCAATGTCGAAGAACCTGCCATTAGTGATCCGCGTAAAACCTAAGGGACGCCCATTATAAAAGCATGTTGAATATTGAAAATCTGACCTATAAGGAACATGAAGTGCTTGAAAGGTAAAGACATTTGGAAAAGTTCTCTATGATGGATTACAATAGCAGAAAATTACTTGGATTTAAAGTTTGTTTTCTTAAATATTTATTTGAGCATAAAATCATATATTTGAATATTGATTTTATTTATCTAACCCTTATTTTGTTTTGCTTTAGAATCAAATGCATGCAAAGCCTTGGAGAATATATTTGCACCAACATTTGATCTTCACCCACCTAGGGAATTTGATTTTTATTTAGATCTATAGGGAATTTGGTTTTTATTTTAATATTTTGTGTAAACAATGTAATATTCTGGGTAAACAATGTAATATTCTGGATAAACAGTGTAATATTTTGGGTAAACCATATAACAATTTTCTTTTAAAAAAACAAATAATCTTACCCCTCAGTTTTATTTCTAGACCGAAAGATAAGATAAGCTAATTTTGAAAATAATAAAAGTGTAGCTGTTGGGGCTCGAACCCATGTCCATATAACTTTACCTCTCGGTTTTAATTCTACCGAGGTAAAAAGTGCCGAGTTTTCATGTCTCCCTTCGTTAACTCGCTTCTTTAGCCGAGGTATTATGCATTTCACGTCTGGGGTAGCGCTTTTTGTAGTAGTGCATTATCTCTCTTCAAAATACCTAAGGTATTAGATAATTGTGCAGAAGAAAAATATGAAATCAAAAGGGAAGGAATTTTTTATGGTCAATAATGGAAAGAAATAGAAAAAAAGGATCACCAAGAAGGGTAGTAAGAGGAAAGGCTAGGAATTTGTCACACCTAAACCTACTGCTCAGGTTTTGAAGCCTAGCAGGGCTATAGCAAAGAAGGACACTTACTTCTATTGGACTGCCAGCTAAAAAGACTACTTAAGTGCACCATACCTTATGGTGTATCGTATTTCACTTAAGCGCACAATACCTTATCATATTCTGAATTCCAGTTAAGTGCATCGAACGTTATGATGTTTCGTAATTATCTTAAGTACTTCGTACCTTATTGTGTTCCTTGTTTATTCTATCTCTTATCAATCTGTTCTTATGTGTGTGATCCTGTAAGTTATTGTGACATGGACCATTATATTAAATCACACATTTATTATAATAAATAGTAAGCAATATTTAGAAACACATAATTGTTACCCAAGTCACGAAAACATCATATGATATGACGAAACCTTTTTGTGATAATGTTTTTGTGTACAATTTCACTTTTTTCCTCATGTCTATATTAAACACAAGGCATAGACCGTATCACCCTCGTCCAGTTCAATATTTGGCCTTTATACATTTATCCTGTTACACAGGATGGGCAAATTTCATCTAGGTCACTCATGTCCCTCAGCATGATTTTTGGAGTACCCATGAATTATCTTTATGGTCATCCAGTAACAGAAAACATTTGATCAACAATAGAGTACTCAAATCCACGTCTAGGGTCCATAATGGTTACAAGTCGAAGGGTAGTATACACCACTATCACCATGAGAATAACTTATGACACTTTGCAAAGTATTATATATAGTCTTCTCATAGTGGGTCAATCCAGTATGAATATTGCTCCTAATATTCATGCATAAGAATAATGTCTTTATGATTAAGTCACACTTAAAGTTTTATTAAACAGATTAGCTATTCTAGGGACTTTATTATTTTGGAAAAACAAACATAATAAAGAAATTTCTTTTAATTATTAATAAATAATTAGGTACAAGTATCAAGTTTTAATAAAACTATTGGCCTTTAGGATTTACACCAATAATCTCACACTAGCACTAGAGACAATCAGTCATACCCTTAATACTCATATATCTAGTATGTCCATCATACTTCTGCTACTCAAGGGGCTTTGTTAGTGGGTCAACGACATTGTCAAGTGTTGGTACTATTTATATCTCATTTATCTATTATCTCTCAAATGAGGTGATATCTCCGAAGTATGTGTTTGGATCATTAGTGAGGTCTAGGCTTCTTAGCTTGTGCAATAGCACCATTTTTATCATAATACAGATCAATGTGATCCACAATGCTAGAGATTATGCCAAATTCAGTAATAAACTTCTTTATCCAAACAACTTCCTTTTCTACATTTTAGGCAACAATATACTTGGCCTTGGTTGTAGAGTTACTGGGTGTATCCTGCTTTGAACTTTTTTTAGATCACAACACCGCCACTTAAGAAAAACCCTTAACCATACTGCGACCTAAAGTCATTCTTATCTGTCTAGAAGCTAGAATAAATGTATCCAATTACAGCGAGATCCTCATGACCTCTATATATCAAGAATGAGTCTTTAGTCCTTCTCAAGTACTTAAGGATATTCTTGACAGCAACCCAATGAGCATCACTGATATCACATTGGTACATACTCGTTGCACTTAAAACATAAAAGACATTTGTTCGAGTAAATAACATGGAATACATGATAGATCCTATTACAGATGTATACAAAATCTTATTCATGTGATACATTTCTTCCTCAGTTAAATGGGATTGGGTTTTTGATAAACACAAGTCATGTTGCATGAGTATGAATCCTTTCTTTGAATCTTCCATATTAAAGTGTCTCACCACTTTGTCTATGTATGTACTCTGACTTAGGACAAGTAGTCTTTGTGATCTATCTTTATATATCATAATTCCTAATATATAGGTTTCTTCACCCAAGTCCTTAATACCATCCTAATTCACAATAAAGCTCAACTACAGATACTTTAAAAATATCATCCAACTAGTTATGATTAAGTCCTTAATACCATCCTAATTCACAATAAAGCCCTAATGAGATGTCATGATTAAGTCACACTTAATATTTCATTAAACATACTAGTTATTCTAGGGACTTTATTATTTTAGAAAAACAAACTTAATAAAGAAATTTCTTTTAATTTTTAATAAATAATTTGATACAAGTACTAATTTCTAATCAAATTATTGTCTCTAGGGCTTACACCAACATTGTTGTGGTGTTAGAGCAAGTTCATGCAAGGATGGTAATAAGCTTTGTCTCTAGGTGATTTTTGATTAAATTGAATCACATTTCTCAACCTTATGGCTACGATATTTATATACTTCTTGGACTTGGATCTTAGGACCCAAGAGAGCGGTTACTATGAAGACAAACTTGTATTGATATAATGTTTTAATGAAGACAAAAGCTTATCAAAGAAGGAAAAGGTTTCTCAATCAAGATCAAGTATCAAAGACCTCATAAATGATCAAGAGTACATAAGTCATTGGATGTTATGGAACTGAAGGAAATTGATCATGATGTTAAGGCACTCAATTGAAATTCATTATGTAAACTTTAGATGCTTAGAAAAAATTGCATCACTTCATCTCTAAATTATCTAAGCTTTCATGCATCAATACCTTTCATGCCAAATGTTTTTAATGCAATTTTTCAAATTTCAAAGTAATGTAATCGGTTACACAAAACATGTAACCGATTACAGGTTCATTATGTTTGATATATTTGAAAATTGGCAGGCTTGTAACCGGTTACACAAATCATGTAACCGGTTACCTGTTGGTTTTGTTTGAAAAATTGTAACATTACAAAGTGTGGTAATCGATTACACATTTTATGTAACCGATTACATGCTGCATAAAAGTGATTTTTCATGAACAATTGTCATTACAAATCATTACAAACCATCATGAAACTTCTACAAACTTTTGTATGTAACGAAAGAAGTTTCTTAGGATGTATTTAAGGAAAGATACATCCGTTTTTCAAACTACTTCTTTCATTCAAATTTTACATACATTTAAATCTTTTCTAAATGTTCATACACCAAAAAATCTTCAAACTTTTCTACATAATCTTCCATATCATTGCAAAATTTTCATTCGAATTTCTGAGCATTTAATGTTAATATATTTTTTAATCATACATTGAAAGGTAAGATCAATCTTTCATTTTTTGAATTCTTCAAGAACTAATCTTATTCAAATTATTCAGGTGTATTGTGAATTAATCACTAATATGTGTGGTGATTAATTTTTGTAAAAGAAAGTGGTGTACTTTCTTGTGTTTATGATAAGAAGGTTGTACTTGGTTTTAGTGTAAGAGTTGTTAGAAGAATCTTAT